TTTTGCTGTTTTCGTGTTTATTTAAGTTTAAGTTCGTATTTATTAATTTCTGTATTTGTTATTTTGGTTTTAAGTCAATCGTTAGAATTAAAGACGAATTCAAGACGTACAGGAGTGTTATTTACACTGCCAGTTGGGATTCTGCATCAACGTTTGAATTATTTGTTCCAGTTGCTAGTCCCACAAGCCTTTGTGCAATAAACAATGCCAAGGGTAAATAAAGGTTATATTATTATAATTATTATTATTTTTAGAAATAGAGGAGTGAATCTGGTTAAAGTTAATAAACTTGGACACTGGGTTAGGATCTTGAAAAAGAACATTAAGAGCGGAGCAGGGCTGCAATTTTCTCAAGCCACTTTTACGAAATAAATTCATATACTGTATTTCTCCGTTAAACGCCTACGGGCAATTATTTAAAGTCCTTCATACAGCTCGACTTGCTGCCGGTCCATACGGTACTTTATCGGAACTTGAAAGAGAAAGGTGATTGGATCGTCTGTCAGTCTCGATAAGAAACAACATTTTCAGCGAAAATTAGGTCAATACAAGCTACAGTTCTTAACCTGATTTGGCTAAATGACCGTCCGGAGGGGTGCTTCCAGAAAATTTGTGTTCGGGTGTGCGGCCCGCTCACCCTATTTAAGACCAAAATCGTCGATGTTTTCAACCCTATTTATGTCCTGACCAAACATTCGATACCCTAGTTAAGACCTGACCCTTAATCAATACCCTGTGTATCAGACCTGACCTGTAATTAGTTACCTAGTTCAGACCGACGTTCGGAAACTGAAGGGCTTTTGTTGGTGGTCCTATCGATAATGATGAAAAAGTAGCTTCTTCTAAAAAACATACACAATTCAAGACTAGATTGCAAAAACCATACCCTATTGACTCCAAAATGGTCAATATTTCTGCCCAAAACGGCTAGAAAAAACCTACCCTTTAGGGCCGCACAGACCTATATAGCCCATATAAGCACAACCACACCCCCATGGCTTTTTCCTTGAAGGGGAAAAGCCCTGGAGGACCAGGTTGACGCTCGCCATACTAAGCGAGCTAAGCATCACTTGGCTTCAGACAAATGGACAATGTGTTGATATAAACTGTCAAAGGTAACCAATCACAGGGTATACCAGGAGCTGGTATACCGGAATGAGTTTTTAAATCAATGCTTACAGGCTTTCTTGACCTCTTCTTTTTCTCTACCAGACCCCGCTGGTCACCCGCCCAGTTTTTCCATCGTCCCCACTGACCGAGAGCCTGGAACAGGCTAAGTAAATTATATACAAAGTCAACCTCGTTCTCAGGGTTTCTCATGTTCCCGCCCTTCTGGAGCAAGGGAGAACTGTCCTCTCTCGCACCAGGAGGCGGGAAGATGAGAGACTCTGGGAATGAGGTTGCACAAAAGTTGGCCATACCTGTTGCGGCGTCTCTCAAATGACTAATACCTGCTGGGTTATTTGGCGCAATTTCAGCGCAACGCCACAAAAATGTGCCCAGTGTTTGCTGCACTTTCCTGTTTTTATTACCATTTCCTTCCACCTGATTGATTGAATCACTCTCGCGGTAAGAAAAATCGTTCACAAACCCTGCGACTTGGTTCTGGGAATGTCATGGGTAAATCTTTTGTTCTCTTCGATGTATCCACGGTGATTTTCCCGTGGGCAATTTCACTGTGGGAATAAAGGTCACATACAAGACGCAGACTCCCCATGGGTAAAGTCCTTCTTTGCCCTGGGCGAAAGGTCTATTGGAACCGCAACTAATGAAGCAAGGCTAATTACAAAGTAGAAAGCTCAACGCGACAACGACGTAATGGAGCCATAACTGAAAGCCAAGAATTGCAACTGTGGACAGCTGCTTCGACCTGGTTAGGTCTCGTCAGCACGGTGAAGCAGCAAATTATAGAACAAACAGTTCAAGAGCCATGCCAGTTGTTTACTAATGTACATGGTAATGACCTCAGATGAAACTGCAGATGTTTCTGGATATGTCAGTGTCACGTGCCAAACGTTTAGGCGTACACAGGGCCCCTCTGAACAACCGCCTCGTAGCTGAGTGGGCCACCCTGTCTTAAACATAGTTTACTTACTTACTTACTAACGCGTGACCGTGAATAATAGGCAAAATCCAGAATAATAGCAAAGATATCAGTGACGCCAACTATTGCTATTAATATATCAACCAGAGAACTATTGGCTGGTGAAACAAAGAATTCTTTTGTCAGTTAACGTTCTGAATAACAAAAACAAACAAATGTCTTCCCTATATTATGTCGTTGTCGCGACAAGGAGACTGCGGGCAGACAAAAACTGTCCCGCAGAAAATACATTGCCAAATCATGTTAAAAATAAGCAGCATATCGGATCTAACTAAATACAAATTAAGCGAGGGTCATGCAAGGGACCACAAACGAAAATGCTGCTGGTATACGTAGGACCTACATGATTAATATTTAATCACGTGGAGATGCAAGAGACTCGTGAAGTTCTGCAAGGGCACCTTAGTCTCTTCCAGAGAATTTTATCTAGATTTGCCACAAGTCGACCTTTGCTTCTAAAATCCTTCGGTTATTTATCTCCCTCGCGCTAAGCGAAAGGGCAATCTTCGAAAGACGAAGTCGCGAGCGTGAGCGACGTAAAGTCGAAAGCAACAGCCAGGGAAGAATTATTGGAAAGGACTTTTAGAAAGTCTAAATGGTACCCAGTCGCCTCTCGTACTCGCGCTGTGGCTTATGGGATTTAATTAGTGGGTTCGCCGTGTATTATGGGAAGCGAGGAAGAAAAACGCGAAGCTTTTCCCCAGCTCCTTTACTCCCCCTTTTTCGCTCCGGAGTTTCTTCCAGGTTTGCGCTGCGCCCCAACCAAGTGAACGCCCGGGAGAGGTTTTGTAAAGGTCGCGAGCGTTTCAGGCGGGCAACTTAATGACGACGATCACTGCTTTCACCTGTCAGAGCTAAATTTAAAAAAATATGCGTGCGCATTGCAGCTCAAGGCGCGCGTTGTGGCGGGAAGTTTAATAAAGAAAATAAAGTCCTTGAAATGTTTCAATTGTCAATGGCTTCCCCCAAAAAATGTCACGTCTGTTGTTGCAGATCGTCGTCACGCTGGTATAGCATTGTTGAGAATATTGTGGAAGACGTGAAAAATTGTTTTAATGTGGAAACATCGTGCAATGATGCGTGTTTGTGTGCCTCTTGTCGGAGAAATTTGACGAGATGGCAACGAAGTTGCGACAAAGACAAAGAAAAATATTTTGTAAAAGCCCAATCTCGAGGAAAGGCATTTGTCAACAGAATAACACTAGCTCAACAGGACCGGAGGCTTGCCGTAAAAAATATCACTGAAACAAAAACAACCCCAATATCGTTGCTGCTATGTTTACCGGAGGTCGTGCTGTTGGATATTTTCAGATGTGTGTCATGGAATGCTTAATTACATCCCATAGGAACAGCTTGTTAGAATCATATTTATTCCGTAACACTCGATTATGTGATTTGTATTCTTTCATTACGTAACCAGTTCTGTTCAATACTTTTGTAATTAGTCCTTAACCGATAGTTTTCTTTTCCTTTCTTTGATTGTAACACCTTGCGTTTGCGTATTTAGGGTTTTTTGGGGTGATACGTGTTGAGAGGTTTTTCTGTGTGTAGAAGAAGCAGGTTGAAGTGT